ACTCAGGAGGCTGAGGCAGGAGAATTGCCTGAACCCGGGAGGCGGAGGTTGCGGTGAGCCGAGATCGCGCCATTGCACTCCAGCCTGGGTAACAAGAGGAAAGTAAAATTTGCCGAGTTAGATATTCTACTCAAGAAATTACAGAGAAAGCAAGAGGACTAAATCTAGAGAACATTTAAAAAATAAAGTAAAAAAATAATAAAGATACAAATAGAAATTATAGACAGACATGGAAAATAAAAAGAAAACCAAGCTGGTTCTTTGAAAAGATTAATAGACAAAACTCTACAATAAAGAGAAATGAACGACATTTGCATTTATTAACAGGGATAAATCTAGAAGACATGATTGTGAGTGATGAATGCAAGTTGCACGGCATAAAATCATTTACGTAAATTCTAAAACACACAAAATACAGAATGCAATTTATGATTCTATATCCTAAGTGTTATAAAAGAAAAAAAATATGGAAAGGAAAGGTTTCCCTATGTCAGGTCAGCCTGCTGGTTGCTTCCGAGGAATAAGCCAGAGCCATGATCGGAGGTGGAAGGGAGAATGCCATCAGTCATATCCTTAAGTGTTCATTTCTCTCAAAAAAAGAAGAAAGCATCCCAGCACTTTGGGAGGCTGAGGTGGGCACAACACCTGAGGTCAAGAGTTCAAGACCACCCTGACCAATATGGTGAAACCCTGTCTCTACTAAAAATACAGATATTAGTCGAGCATGGTGGCAGGTACCTGTGGTCCCAGCAACTCGGGAGGCTGAAGCAAGAGATTCGCTTGAACCCAGGAGGCGGATGTTGCAGTGAGCCAAGGTCATGCCACTGCTCTCCAGCCAGGGCAACAGATTGAGATTCCATCTCCAAAAAAAAAAAAAAAAATTTTTTTTTTTTTTTTAAAGAAAGCAGTTCTGAAGCAAATCTGACGAGATATTTACATGGGTTAAGTCTGAATGCTGACACACAGGTTTGTTTTGTGTTTTGCCTGCTATAAATATTTCATAACTCAAAATAATTTACACCTGCTACATTCATTTACATCTTCACTGCCTATCTCTCCCACCAAACCCTAAGTTCCCCGGAGGCAAGGACCACACTATGTCAAGTTCACCATAGTATGCAATTCTGAGCAGCGTCTGAGGGTCAGTGAGTAGAGAAACTTACGCGGATGACCTGAAAGCACAACTTCCGGTCTACAGATACTAAGATTCCTTGATTTCCCTGTGGATCTGCTCAAGACCCAAGAATGACAGATTCAAGAAAAATCATGAGAGCCTTCAGCTGCCAGCTCAGGGCTCTGCAGGGCCGCTCTCTCCCTGAGTTAATACTGAAGAAGGGCACTTGATATTGAAGGTCCCCTTGATATTCAAAAATGAGCAGATGAATTATAACCACAGCAGCTGCAGCAACAGCCAACGTGGACTGGCACTAAGTGGCGAGTCTGCATTACCTCATTTAATACTCACAAAAGCCCTAAGAGGTAGGTGACATTAGGAGGGCACTGCAGCTCAGAGAGGGTGGCACCTCTAACTTGCCCGAGGTGACACAGCCTGTCCAATGTTTTTCAAGAGTGTAACTCAATAGATGACCGGCTAATGAAGACATCTATTGTTATAGACAAGGTCCCTTTACGTGGCCCATTTCTAGTTTCCTCTAAACGTGATTTTTTCCTTTTAGGCATTTATGAGCGTTCTCTTGAGCATGCCCTCCAGGGTGGCTAGAGGTGGTTATAGCACCCCTGGTTCTCCATGTTCCTCAGAAATCACCCTGCGACCGTCACCACCCCACGGTGCAGGTAAGAAAACAGAGGCTGTGTGGCCTGAACTGTGTGCCACTCCCCCGACCGCTACACCAGAACCCTCCCAGATTCCTATGTTGAAGTCCTAACCCCCAGGACCTTAGACTGTGGTTGCATTTGCAGATAGGGTTTTTACAGAGATAACTAGGTTACAATAAAGTCATGACAGTGGGCCCTAATCCAATATGACTGGGGTCCTCCCAAAAGGAAATCGGCATAGAGACACGGACAGAGATAAGACCACGTGAAGACACAGGGAGAAGACGGCCGATATGGTTTGGATGACTGTCCCCTCCAGATCTCATAAAGAAATGCGAAGCCCACACTGGAGGTGGAGTCTGGGGGGAGGTGTTGGATCATGGGGGTGGATCCCTCACGAATGGTTTAGTGCCATCCCCATAGGGATGAGTGAGTTCTCACTCCATTAGTTCACGCGAGAGTTGGCTGTTTAAAAAGACCCTGCACCTCTTCACTCTCTCTTGTTCCCTTCTCTCGCCATGTGACAAGCTGATTCCCCCTGGTCTTCCGCCATGATTGGAAGCTTCCTGAGGCCTCACCAGAAGCAAGTGCTGGTGCTATGCTTTGTGTACACCCCGGAGAACTGTAAGTCAAAATAAGCCTCTTTTCTGTATAAATTACCCAGCTTCAGGTAGTCCTTTCGGGCAACACAAATCTACTAACACAGCAGTCATCCACTAGCCCAACAGAGAGGCCTGGACCAGACCCTTTCCTCACAGCCTCGGAAGGAACGGACCCTGTCAACGCCTTGATCTCACACTTCTGGCCTCCAGAACTGTGAATAATACATACCACCAGAACAACCACTTTCTGTTGTTTAAGCTCCTGGGGCAGCCTCTGTTGCTCCAAATACAGAGACACAGAGACAGGAAGGAGCTCTTCTGGGGTCACACCAAAGGAAAACAGAATTGGGTCTCTACCATGGCTTTTTTCTCTTTGCAGAATAATAATTCTTAAACTATTGATGTCTGCTCACAGAGTTAACATTTATATGCAAATAAATATTTAAAATACTAACTTGGAGCAACTCAAAGTAGCCAGGTAATGCCACTCCTTTTAGGTTCTGCTTCCAGCTAAGACATAGAAGGAAAGACTCCAACTACCACTTTTAAAACAAAGGACACCGGATAAACTACAAAACCGTATTTTATTTTATCCACTGCGAGAGCTGAGGTCAAAGAAGTGTAGCGGAACCAAATTTCAGAGGCATTGAGCCCTTCCTGAGCAAAGGTCCACAGCCATAGTGGTCCCTGGGGCACAGATGGAATAAGGAGCTGATTCCATCTAAGCTGTGGAAAAGAGGAAACAGCCACATTTTTAACCGTGTAGACTGGAATAAGGGATTACACCTGGATTCGAGATGTCTTACATCTACTCCAGACTTTTACGAGGTGTGTGGTGGCAGGCAGGAAGTCAGGACACGGATGGAAACACAGTGGTATCTGCAGTCACATGAGTACCAGCACCTACGCTCGTTATGGAGAGACCTAAGCCTGCTATAAGCCTTCGCGACTAGCAGCAAACCCAACCCAAACCAGCCCACCTCAAATCCCAATTACACAGAACAGCTGACCTCCTCATCCTGGCTGCCTCGTTGCCCCCTAAGAGGAGCCAGCCGAGGATACATGGCTGGCATGCAGAGAAGTGACCCCTGGGCAAGTGTCACCTGACATCCAGCCTCCTGCTGTACTCGTCAGCTCAATGAACTCATGTCAGTGGTGTCTTTAGTGTTTAAGCCAGTTTGATTTCTATCATTTCCAACTGAAGGATTCTTAACCCATTTATGCCTGAGGTTGCAAATGTTTTTGTGTGAAAAATCAGACCTTGGCAATGACCTTGAGCAATGGCATATAAATAACTCCCACAAGCTTAGCATTCCAATAACGGAATACTACGTATAATTAATTGGTACAAAGCACAAGATCTGACCAAATGTGTATTACAAAGTATATACACATATTATACATGCAAATTCTTGCATAAATTAGCAATACACAATTTCTAAAGAGTATGGTATCCACCAAATAATACTCACTGAAATTATCTTTGTCATGCTATAAATGTACCAGACAATACTAGAAAATAACAGCAATTTTTTAAAACAATAACAGAACTTCACCTATAAAGTAGACATCAGTACTTCACAGAAACCACAGTTGGAGACATAATCACACTCCAGTGAGCTCACCACTGCTCCACATGTCGTGGGATTCCTATTTTGCAAATGCTAAGGGAAAATTACTCTTCTATTTCAGCACCTACTTCAACCATACACACGTGAAATACACCATGGTGGAGGAGAGGAAGATTCATATTGTTACTTAAGAGCATGAAAATGCTCAGAGGAAAATTTTAAACTGAATCAGAATGGAGAAATTAAAATAAGCGTAGAAGGAAGACGAAAAGGTTTGAAGTCAAAACTACTATTTAAAAATCAAGGAACATTTCAAAATATCCAAGTCACCATTTTAGTTTGCCAAGTTCCAACGTGGAGTGGTATTTTATGGATCAGTTTATCAGGCCCCCAAAATATGGAGCAATGTCAGAAACAGAATCAGCCTGTTCTCTCACCTGGTGTCCCAAAGATCAGTAGAAATGCAACCTCAGTAGTATCCAAGGGGAAGAAATAGTTGCCAGGTGGCCCTGGCTATGACAGTCCTTCTAGCCCCCATCCCTGCTCAGACATAAAACCCTACTCAGCACAGCAGCTCAGCAAGGTTCACATTTCAAGTACACTGAGCCCTTCATGGAGGATGTTTCTTAGCCTCCTCCTCACCTCCAAGAGCCAGCAAGCCTACTCCCAGGCCATGTCCAAGGCTATCATAACGCAGGGTCAACAACAGGGCACCATGAAACCTAGGGCTGCCACGTTCAGCCAGAAAGAGCATGTTCCCATGAGAACTCTGGGATTAATCTAATCTTTCTAGGAAAGATTAGGAAACGTCTAGGAAACTTCAAGAATGTACTTTGCAGATGTCCCAGTCAATTAATTTTCCCGATTTCTAAACTCCTGATGTTTCAAAGCTTAATCCAAACTAGATAGGCCCTAATTGACTGCTCGTTAGCTAAGCCTATTAAAAGTCCATTGTCATTCTCGGGATAGCCAGAACATTTACTGAGTAGTTCACGCAATGCAAGCAGGACCAGAAGCAAAATATGTAACCCTCCTCTATGCCTGTGTTCCTCATCTGTACAGGGCTTGAGTCTGCCATAATCTTAAATACGCACACTGCTCCTGCAGCAAAATGCAAGCCGATGCAAGGTTTGAGAGCAGGGAAGGGGAGATTATATTTTTAAGCAAGTTCAGAAATTTCTCCCTACCCTCTTGCATGGCTGCTCTTGTTTTAACTTTTTCCATCACATTTACCCCACCCTGGTTTTGTTAATTTTATTTCCTCATTAAAGGCTAGACAGTCTATCAAAAGAATGACTCAAAACTCATCTAAGGGACAAAAATGCAAACACAAGCACCATTTATCATTTTGTCAGCGATCCTCAGTAACACGCCACTAAAGAGGATGGAAGCCGGTCATTAGACAAACATCCCATTATCTCATCTACAAGCACGCTGGGTTCTGACCACGGACTAGCGTCTGATGAACGGTGGCGTGAGCAGAGGGAATGGCAAGAATAAGATACATTTGTCCTTTGTTTCACTGCACAGCCCTGCTTCAAAGCGCTCACCTGGGAAAATCCACGCCCCCATGGCCCACAGGTGCTATTCCTCAGGCTTAACAGCCGTTAGTGATGTGGTTTTCAATACCAGCTGAACATCAGAACCACCTGGGAGTCTTTACATTGCCAGATGTCTCCAGGGCATCTAATTAAAGCAGCTCTCCTTGGGTGAGACCCGGGCGTGAGTAGTCGTTAAACCTCCCCCCAGGTGATGCCAAGGTACAGCCAGGGCTGAGGACCACTGCCGTAGAGAAATCCCTCTGAGCCAGTACATTCCGGTGAGGTGCAGAAACTGAAGGTTTAGAAAGACTAACAGTTACAAACTTTAAAAGGAGATAAAGCCTCCCCCCTAAAAAAAAAAAAAAAAAAAAAAAAAAGGTCCATCAAGGCAGACATAGGTAGGGTCAGGGACTCAGGTTGAAAATAGCACACTGGGGGCCGGGCATGGTGGCTCATGCCTATAATCCCATGACTTTGGCAGGCCAGGGTGGGAGGATCACTTGAGCCCAGGAGTTCCAGACCAGCCTGGGCAACATGGCGAAACCCCATCTCCACAAGAAACAAAAATTAGCTAGATGTAGTGGTGCATACCTGTGGTCCCAGCTACTCAGGAGGCTGAGGTGGAAGGATCACTTAAGTCCAGCAGGTCAAGGCTGCGGTAAGCCACGATCACACCACTGCACTCCAGCCTGAGTGACAGAGTGAGACCCTGTCTCCAAAAAAAAAAACACACACACAAAAACCATACTGACATCAAGCCCACAACCAACCATCAGACTTAAAGACTCTGCTTCCTATCAAAGGGAATTTTTAGGTACTAGTAATTTTATGATGTCTTCCTCACTTTTGTAAGGATGAAGAACAGAAAAACCCTAATGTCTCCATCTGGGACTGAAAGCTCTCCTGAAGTGAGCTCTATCCAGCACAATCACCTCTAATACCCACCCAGACAAGGCTAAAGAGAAAGGCAACTTACTTCCATCAAGTCCACACACAGCAACTGGGCTGAACTGCAAGACTTGTTTACAAATAAAAAGGTAATTCCAAAGTGGTCACATAATCAACTTAGTTCCAATGTCACCAGATACTAAACCAAGACACATGAATTTTCATGCAAAGATAAGTCTTTAAGCTTCAGAAGCACAACCCCCAAAGGTCAGCAGTGGGGTCCCACGATCTCCTGGGAGGAAAGGCCATCTGTGATCCAGTTTCACCTGGGGACATTTGCAGCCCCATGAAATGTTCAACATGTGACAGATCATCCACATCAGGGTTGCTCAAAGAGAGAGTATAAGAGCCCTAGGCTCTCCCCCGACACTGTGTACTAAAATCACTTTTAAAAACACTGGCACCCAAATCATACCCCAGACTAAAAAAGATCAGGACTCTGGGGGACAGGCCCAGCGTGCATGGCATTTTGAAAAGCGGTGGTCCTCACACTTTAGCATGCATCTCAATCTCCCGGAGGGCCGGTGAAACTACAGATGACTGGACCCTCCCCCAGGGTTTCCGGTTCACAGGTCTGGCCTGAGAATGTGCATTTCTAACACGTTCCCAGATGATGCTGCTGGCCCAGGGGCCACAGTGCGAGAATCGCCGCTTCAGAGGCGTCCCAGGTGGCTTTAATTAGCACAGCCGGAACTCGGCAGCGCTGTATTATAAGAGTGAGCTCCTGGCCAGGGCACGAGGAGGAAGGAATTCTTATCTAAACTCAGCTACAAACCTGGCGTTTGATCAATAAGCCCTCAAAATTTTTGGACCTCAAGTTGCTCTTGATATATAAAATTGACATACTGCATGAAAGAGAACCTGGGATCCTTGCAGAAGTAAAACAATGACTTTTCCAAAGGGCTGCTGACACTAAGACACATAGAAAGGAAAGGAAGTGGTCTCAGGGCAATAAAACAGCTTTTGAAATAGAGGGGAAGGTAGGTTCCTGCTTACATGGCTTCAGTGCACTGGGAGATACACAGGGTGCAGGCCGTGCATATGCTCTAAACCAGTCATGCTGCTGTGTGGACTCACCTGTTAGAACCGTGCAGCGCTGCCCAGGTCTCTGGGCCTCGGCAGAAGGGCTGGGGGTCAAGGACCATTTGCGCCTAATCAGATGCTCCCGTCCGCTGAATGGAGCCTGGGAGTTGTTGAGGGGCTGGATTAGCACCTGCTCCTGCCCAAGTTGAATGAGGCCAACCTGCCCAGAAAAGAGAAGGAAACGCGATGTCGGTCATCCTCATTCACACCCGCCCATCGTCCCCCGGGAGGGCAGGCAAGGCCACCTTGCTGGGATTTCGTTTCCCATGTCTGGGCTCTTTCCTTTGCTAATAGGTCCGATTTACCTGAGCCCAAGAGTGAGCTTCTGTGTGACTTAAAAACATAACACAGAGCAGCTGTTTTGGGGTGGGGTACAGATACAGGTTCAACAGCATCCATTTTCCACACTGGCTTTCAAAGATAAATTACTATCAAATCTTTTTAATTTTAAAATTATTTTTTAAATTACTTTAAAGATCATCCCCACAAAAGTCCACTTGGGAGGCAACACTGAAACTGCTGGGAATGACATTTACATCCCTCATGGAAAAATGTATCTTATCCCTGGATGTATTAACAGTAACATTAATATTGTTTTGACATCATCAAAACAAAACAATCTGCCCTCCTTCCCCAGGCACCTGCTGCTACTTTCCCTTCGTATGTGGAGTCAAATGGTAAATCTCTCAAGAAAATCGAACCCAGCCAGGGCCAGGGGAGGACGTGGTTTGCACACCGATCAATGCAGGCAACATCCTGTTCTCCTGGGAACAATCCTGGACAGCCTGTGATAGCAAATACAGGAGATGTGGCGGATGAGTCTTACGGGGTCATGACATCCTTTCTTGTCTCCCTCTTCCACCATCACTTTTTAAACGCCGTGACAGGCCAGGCATGGTGGCTCACGCCTGTAATCCCAGCACTTTGGGAGGTCAAAGTGGGTAGATCACGAGGTCAGGGGTTCAAGATCAGCCTGGCCAAGATGGTGAAACCCCATCTCTACTAAAACTACAAAAAATTAGAAAGGCGCAGAGGCAGGTGCCTGTACTCCCAGCTTGGGAGGCTGAGGCAAGAGTATCGCTTGAACCCAGGCAGCAGAGGTTGCAGTGTGCTGAGATCATGCCACCGTACCTGATCAGCCTGGGCAACAGAGTGACACTGTCTCAAAAAAAAAAAAAAAAAAAAAGCCATGACATACTAAACCATTGGTTCTCAAACCCTAACGTGCACCAAAATCACCTGGAGGTCCTGATGGAGCCCAAGAATGTGCATTTCTAAGAAGTTCCCACATTACACAGGGACCACATTTGGAGCACCCCCCCACCACCACCACATGCCGCACTAACTCCTCAGGTCTCAAGTATAAAGCTCACTTAAGCCAAATGAGATAGCCCCCCTCTATGTTCTGAAAGGATGCACCAGTACCAAGATTCCTGGAAAGTAAATCAGATCAACTAATAATTTAGATGGCCTACAACCCTGAGTCCCCAAGACACACGGTGAGGCCATACTTACTGCTCTAAGCATACTTCAAGGTTTCCATTTCATTAGAACTTTTGCCAAGAACAACTCAAAGATTTTACTGCCCAAATAAAACTGTCTCAAAGTGGCACCGCATGACCTGCAGGAGAGCACAGCTTTCCTCCCTCTCCTTTGAAGTGAAAACCTGAGTTTGTTCCCTGGGAAACTTTGGGGAAACTGAAGGAATGGAAGAGGGTGGCCACAGTGGGATGTGCAGAGCTCCATCACAGCTGTGCATGAAGCAGCCTCAGTGCAGGCCACCTGAGAACTTTCTAAGTCAAGACAGAGTAGGGAGCGGATGGCACAGTGAGTGCGATGGAGCCCCACGTGGGAAGACCCCTTGCTTCCCAGGGGATGAGCTTCCCCCTAATGAGGGGCTGGCCTCATTTGGAAACATCCTGGCTGTGGGTCAAAGCTCCCCGGGGTCTAGCACTTTTAAAGCCAGTTTTACTGGTTCAGTCTAGTGTTGGCATTCACAAACCCCCACATAAAAAGCAGTTAGCTGTTAGTTCTAACATGATTCAAGTTTTTAAAGACAGGGAGATCTCACCTTGGTGAGAAATCCTACACATACACGCTCATATATACATGCAAAGCCTCCCTAGCACCTTAGGGGAGGTTTTTCTTTACAGTTTCTCAGGGGCCCCAAGTGCTGGTTTCTACAAACTTCAGGAAGAAAACAGCAATGCTGGGGAAAGATGGATAAATGGACTAGTGGGTGCTCGACCTGGCACCACTTGCCCTCTCCGGCCCCATCTGGAGCAGGGATGTGGCCAGGACTAGCCCCAGGAGGGATGGGCTGTCCAGGGCCCTCACCCTGGGAACCAGCATGAGGAAGGACCCTGCCTCCTCCTCCCTGCCTGTCTCACTACCCAGACTCCCTCAAGCATCTGTAACACTGCCATTGTCAGCACGTCACCAGTGGTCAAATGTCCTGTTGAGATGTACCATCTGTGCATTGCATAGTCTCACCCCAAAATACCCACCAGCCCTCCTCCTCTCTCCCTGACCTCCTCTCTTCCCTGAATAAAGCCCCCTTCCCTGCAGCCGCCTGCAAGCTTACATTCCAGCCCACTACCCCATGTGAAACATTTTCACCACCTAACAGTTTGCTCCATAGAGGCAAGATCAGAATTATTCCTTCTGTTTTTTGCCAATGTCTGCCACATAAGTTACTCAAAAAGAAAACAGAAAAGCGACGGAAAACGCAGTTACCTGCATGGACTGCCTGCAGCCTCCTTGCTCAGGGCTTCTCACCCCCGGCAACATATCGGTATTATTTAGGGAGCTTTGAAAACTCCTGATGCCTCAGCCCCTGCTCCAGGCCAAGTGAATCAGAATCTCTTGGGGTGAGGCCAAGCACCAATATTTTCTCAAAGGTGACCAGGAAAATTCAATGTGTAACCAGGGTTGAGAGGCGCCATGCTAGCTTTTAACCAGCTACTGGAGACACTGGATTCCATGTCTAGAGCTCCTTGGTCTTGGAACCTAGGCCTTCTGACTATGGAGCTATGCCCACTGCCCTGGCTTCTAGACCACCACTGCCCCGTGGCCCCAAGAGCCGAGCAGGGCTTCTTGGATCTGTGTGACTCCTGCAGTCTCCATCTATGCGGAGAAGGGAGAAGAAGAGAGAAGGAGGGAAAGGCTTGTCCAAGGCCTCTTCTGTTCCACTGACAGGGAAGAAATACCAGCACTGAGCCTGTGCCTTGGATACAGGAGGCCTGCAACCATCCTCCAAAGAGACAATCTAGAAATAAACGCCTATGGCAGACACAATCAGCAGCCCTGAGGCCCCTAGGTTTCAGGGCTAGAATAAAGCGCCCAGTGAAATGGTGCTCTTAAAAGAGAAATCTCAAGTTTTGCAGGATTTGGTATGCTATACTAAAGTGTGGGTCAAATAAAATGGATCAGGTGATAACTTGTTATTTCAGCAGTTGTGAGTAGTTACCTTTCAACTCTCTTTGTTGTGGGTACTTGCTTTGAAGGGTCCTGTTAAGACAGAGTTATAAATCAGGTATTGTTCACTCCACACCACACCCCCAACAAAAAGGACTAGCTCTCACTGCAGTGTGGAAAGCGTGTGAAAGACATAGAGGTTTTTATCACCTAACGTTAGCACAAGTTCTCGGCATGGCTTAGAAAATGCAGTTAAGGTAACAGAGAAACTGTCGCATATGCTCCAAAGCATGCCTCTGTGGGAGGGGGCAAAGTCACATGATTCCACAAAGCCTGCAATGGAATTCCCTGTCTTCAGGAGTCTGCAGCTTCTCAGTTAATGGGAGTGGGTCTTGGGTCTCCTTCTCTAGGTCAAAATGGGTGATGGGGCCAACAGGGCAGTGAGTTTGCTTTCTAGGGACCAACCTGCTTCCAAGAAGAAAAGCCACCCTATGACTGCAGATCTTCCTGCCTGCCTCTGACTCTGCATGGGCCTGCACCTCTTCCAGTGGAAGGAGCCTCCCTTGCGGACACAGGTAAGCAGGGCTTCCCAACCTGCACCCCTTCTGAGGAACCACCCAGAGGTCCCCTTCTGCAGTCTTGCCGTCGCCTCTGTGAACGTGGAGTCCCTGGGCACAGATGCCTGGTCTTCTTCCCAAAGCCGGCCTCCCATCGGTAGTGAGGAGTCCCTCGCTTCAGCATCACCCCTTTCAGATCACCAGACAGTGTCAGCCAGCCACACAAAGGACTGCCAGCCTGCCCTTCAGAGTTCCTCTTGTGTGCTCTTCCTTCCTTTCTGTCCCAGGCTTGCGCCTGTCTGAGTCTTGAGCCTGGTCAGTTCCCTGCTGTAAGTGTTCCTCTTAAGTCCTCCCCATCTGCTAACCCCAGGGTTCCCCAGCCACCCATCCTCCACTGCCTCTCAGCCAGTGACCCTCAGAGTGCCCGCCCAGAACAGCAGCATCAGCATCCCCTGAGGAACTTGTGAGAAATGCAAGCTCCCGGCCTACCCCAGACCTCCTACATCAAAAACTCCGGATGGGGCCCAGCAATCAGTTTAACGGGCCCTCCAGGAGACCCTAATGCCAGCTCAAGGTTGAAAACCGGGCCCAAGTCCAAATGCCTTCAGTGGGCACCCAGAGCCCTGACCCATGTAATTCACATGCCTGCCAGTTCAGTTCCTTTACCCCCATCTCTTAAAACCACCACCCCCACCAACCCACTCATGGGTCCCTTATCTCAGGACAATGGGGCCCCCCGTGCCTTTTCCGTCACTCCTCCTTCGTCACTCCTCCTTCGTGGCATCTGAAGCCTATCCTCCTTCCTCCCCCAAGCCCCACCGCGATCCAGGCTCCAGGGCACCTTCCTCCACGAGGCTGGGACCCTCTTCCCAGATAGGGCCTGCATTGTCTTTCTCTCTGAGCCTCGCTGGGCGCCTACCAGAGCACCCTGCACACGACAGGTGTGTGATAATGATCTGCTCATTCAGGGAAGAACGATGACTGATCAGCTGATGGATAACTGGAAAGGTCTGTGAACAGCCTGCGGGGGCAGGAGGGGGAGCCTCTTTTTAATGCCTTAATGTGCCAGGCTCTCACTAAATGATTTCACAGACTATCTCCTTCCATTCTACCAACAGTCTTGCAAGCTCATGTTATTTACTCCTGCATGGCTGTAGGCAGGGAGGTTCAAAGGAGTTAAGTGGCTGTCTCAAGATACAGCCCCAAATGGGCCACATAGTTTCATTTCCTACGGAGCAAGAGTGTGACCATGTATCTGGGGACCTGTCCACAGAAGCATGCCCAGGGAAAAGTTAACCAATGACTCCACATGGTTCCCTCAGATGTACTGGCCGCAAACAATGTCTTCCCATGTCACACACACCCAGGATCAGGCCGCCCCTGTCACACACACCCAGGATCAGGCCACCCCTGTCACACACACCCAGGATCAGGCCGCCACAGTACTTCGGAGTTCAGGAAGTAAGCTTCGAGAATGCAGTCAGTCAAAGACGACGGCTTCAGTTCACTGTCGCATCTTGTACCGCTTTTTCACGTTTCTTAATGTTGTCAACTAAACAAAAGTTCAAAGTGGGGACATCTAGTGTGTGTCCCAGACGATGCTCGTGGGCAGCTTGATGCGGCAGCAGTCAGTGCCTGGCACCCTAAGAGGAGTCAGCCCAGCCCTGGAGAGCTGCAACTGGAGGAAGCCCTGGGCCATCAGGAGGAACCCAAGAGTAAGCAGGCTGGAGAGGACAAAGGGGAACGAAGACAAGCCATCGTGAGGCCACAGGAATGTCATTCCAGAGGTGGCAGCCAGATGCCTTAGAACTTTCTGAGCTCTTCCCTCCAATACTTCCGAGCCTCCAAACTTCAGGAAACTGTCTTTGCCCTTCTTTTTCTCCTGCCAAAATGCCACTTAGCAACCACTCCATCGTTTCTTTCTACAAACTTCTAAATATGTGCTTTGTATTCTCCAAATATATTTATGCTGCACAGGATCAATTAACAATACCAAGTCATCACTTACGACTACCAGACCTTCCTCGGATCTGTCTCAATATAATGATGTAGTATAATGCAGTCCCTTCCCAAGGGTCTCCACGCCAAGTAATTTTTGCCAAGACCAATTCCTACTCAGCTGTTCTCCATCGAGTGAGGCTGCCTTATAAAGCAGAGCGATTTTGTAAATCAATCAATCAATCAAAGAGGGCTTGATAACTCTTTTCTAAAGAGAGAGGTGGCGATATCCCAAGCCTGCTTCTTCATCACAGGAATCATGCAAATGCAGGCTGCCCTCTTAAAAACAGGGTCCCCAACGCTTCTAACCTAAGCAGCCTACTCATCAGCTGGCCGAGCCCAGCCCCACCTATTCTTATCTGGACTATACTAGTTCCCTATAAAAGAGAGGTGAGCATTCTCTAAGTCTCAAGTGGACTGGGACAGCCGTACAGAATTATCAATGTCCCATGCGCCACAAATGATCTGCTACCCACATGGACACGAGGTCTGCCGTCAGGCTGACGAGCCACAGCGAGGGGTGGGCGGGGCCCCCAGGTTGACCCCAGTGACTCCAAATAAGAGTCCTACAGCATGTGGCTGTGACAACAGAGAAACCATGACAGGAGGATCCCTGACCTTCTCACAGTCCTTCAAGGTAGGCTGGAAAGCAGTTATGACTTAGTCATCTGCAGCCCAGAGCGCCTTGGTGGTCCCCCCGTCTCACACGGCTCCTGGCAGGCCATAGCCTTGGCCAAGAAGGGGTGGACACATTCCAGTGGGTGGCCTTCCCAAGCTTTGTGAGTATCATCCAAGGAAGGATGGCCGCTGCTCCGCAGACCACACCGGACAGCAAGGGCCTCCAGCCCTCCCCTCCTCTCATTCATTCTTCCTAAAACAAGTCCACTCACTTTGAACAAGCCACACAGATTCTTTTCAGAGCCTGAGGCTCATGCTGTCCTTGAAGTGCCCGCTCTGCTCTCCTCTCTACCTATGAAGTTCAGCCTGATTCCAATTCCACTGGCCTTCCATAATCCGGTCCTGGTCAGAGACAGCTGATCCAAACTTACATAAATTCATTAGGAGTGGAAAGGCCTTCCTCATACGCCTAGAGTTCATTGCTTTGAAATGATACACTCACAGAAACACTTCCAAAAAACCTACGCTCTGTTTAAAGACTCTTGGAAATGTAAATACAATGAAGAAGCATAAACAGAAGACAATTCATACTTAAGTCTCTGGTCTCTGAAGATCCAAAAAGCACAGCTGGCCCAGATAAGACACCGTGAAAGGAATGTCACAGGCCCATGCCTCTGCCTGCTGTCAAAAGGAGAAGCAGCAAAAATGGAACAGGTGTTTTACTCTCCATGGCCCCTAAACAGCTAGGGAATGATCTATTCTAATAATGCATCTCCTTTAAACAGACAGCAAACATCTCTGGAGACAAACAGCACAGATTCCACGCAACATGGAACAGAGCCTGTGTATCCCCAGCTCAGGCACTCCACACTCTCTGCTGAGGCCTTTTGGAAATGTTAGGTACAGTAGCACTTACCAGCAATTGACATGATATTCAACATCCGGAATGAAGTTTTGTTGAACGCAGCCACAGCCATTTGCTTGTACATCCATGGCTGTAGCTGCTTTCACACTAAACGGGCAGCTTTGAGCGGCCGCGAAAAAGGCTACGTGGCCCACAAAGCCTAAAATATTATCTGGTCCTTAAGAGAAGTTTGCCGACTCTTGCTCCTCGTTTTTGGATACAAGGACACTTTGAAACACGCCCCATCCATGGCCACCAAAGATCATTTACTTTGACATCACTCCTTCCCACACCTTATAGCCGAGCCTGTCGTAGAAAATACACACAACCCCCTCTTCATCTCCATTTCACAGAGCTTCACCACGGCCGAGAGAGACACACAGCATCCCCAGCTGCCTGAACTGAGAACCCAAGTCAAAGCTAGTCTGCGATGCAAACGTGGCTAGCCCAGATTCCTGCTGCTTTTTATCTACGCTTTCAGGACCACCTTGCAACCAAGGGGTTCACCTCCCAGTCATGCCATTGTCTCTTCCCTCCTGCCTTCAACATTTTCTGAGGGGGAAGTGTCCAATGTCCAGCTCACACGAACAGGATGAACGAGGTGGACTAAACAGAGTGTCTGCTAAAGCAGGAATTTAAAAGCCGAAGTCTTAGAGGTACACCCGCCACTGGCACACACTGAAATCAGCCTGTTGGCCAGGTTCCTTTATGTAAAGCACAGCACCCTCACATGGTGCTGAAGGGAAGGACAGCCTTGCTGAGAAGCTGGCTGAGATGCCATCTATGAGGGCCCAGCCCTCACTCTGCGAGGATTTTAAATCAATGTTATCCAGATTTTCACCCTCGGCTCCTTTACAGATAGCTCCTTGCTGGAAACTTTACACCAAGAAGTATAAACTCTGACCTCTACAGAAACTCACTAAACCGCAGCAAATGGGATTCAGATGTTTCCATGTACAGTACAATGATGTGACCTAGACTTTAAACACTTTGGCAAAAACAGGAAAAATGATGTGGGCCTTCCAGTCCCTCCCAGAACATGATACAGCCTTGACCCAAGCCCTACAGTGATCTGAGCCTTTCTCACTCCCACTCCAGCCTCCCAGCCTGTGGTCAACATTCCCTCCTACCAGGCCCCCTCCAAGATCTGTATATCACTTTCCTTGTTTCACCAAAGCTGCCTATTTTTCCCAGCTGAGCAAAACCAGACCATACCCTAATCAGAACTCAGAACATTCCTGAAAGGAAAGCCAGGCTGATCTAGGAAACCGCCCAGTTACCCGCAGCACTGGGAAGAAAGGAGAGGTCTTACATAAGACCTTGCACCCCCAGGCCTTCTGGCTTCCTGGATTCTCGGGGTCTTGCCACAGACCCTGAAGGTAAGGGCTGAGGAATTCTAGCTAGTGGCACAAGAAAAGGTGGAGGGAGCAGTTTCCTGTGCCTGGGAAGGACAGACACAAACTAATATCAGAAACTGCCTCCCCAGAGGCCAGTCATGACAGAACACAGAAAAAAACCCCTGCTGTTCATGCTCTGGGTCCATACCAAGCTTTGCTGGGGGCAGCCCATCTGCCGACCACGTGTGCTGCTTTCGGGGGCGCTGAGTGCTCCTACTGGCACCAGTGCAGCCACATGATCAAGTGTGTGCACAGGCAGGGCAAGTGCACACACGAACTCCCTTGCCCCCAGGAGCACCTGTCACAGGTGCCTCAAATGCCACAGGGCAGGGACTTGGGGACACGGAGAAGTTAATGCCACAATGAGGGAGCTTCTGGGGGCAGGAACAGGGCTTATTACCAATGTAAGCATCCCTCAGGCCTGGTTGGGGGTGAGCACCAGACAAATGCCTTCTAATAGTATAAGGAAACAAGGACAAAAACCCTTCCTCTCCTGTTTCTTACGTTTCAGTAAGAGTGGGGTTAGCCGTGGCCTGTGTGGGCACTTCTCCCAACTTCCTGTTCCAGGTACAGAAAGAACACTCAAAAGGGAGGGAGGTGAATGCGCACTCCCCCACCTCCATGTCCAAGAACAGAACATCTATATGCACGTAGGTACTCCCGTGACATACACGCTTACACAGCGGTGCAGATACCGTGTTCACTCCGCACTGGGGCCAAGGCGCCTGTGTTCAGGGCCCTGACAGTATCATCCCTGCTAGATCCGCGTTCCCTTTGGGCGGGTGGCGTAGACCCCACGCAGCCCCAGCTTCACGCGGGGTCCACGGGCTACAGAGGCGCTGGACTCGGAGGCTACCCCTTCCACCCTCTTTGCCTATAGAGGGTCCTGAAGGTAGGGGTGGGGGATGGGGAGAGGCGGAAAGGCAGGGGGTTCTCTCGGGTTCCCCTGGAGGCTGGACTTCCCGCAGAGGCGCCCCACCCCCACCCTCCACGGCGACCACCCTGCACCGCAACAGACCCGACGGGCTGACGCGGAGGGGGCGCGGGCAGTACCAGGCCGCCGGCGGCGCCGCAGGCGCTGAGCGAGACGAGGGAGCCAGGGTGGCCGAGCACACTGCCCGAGTAGAAGCACAGCTCCGCGGGGCGGCCGCGGCGCCCGGCCGCGCCCGCCTCCTCCACCTCGAAGCCTCGGGACAGGAAGCGCAGGTCGCGGCGCAGCTGCAGGTACAGGTCGCGCCCGAAGGCCGGCAGGTGCAGCAGCAGGGCGCGCTCTCCGGGCCGGGCGCGCGGGGCGGCGGGGGGCGTGCGGGGGCGCCGCCGCCGTCGGGGCCCGGGGGCTGCGGGCAGCGGCGGCAGGTGCACGTCGTCGGGGCGCACCCGCCGCGGGAGTACCACCTCCACGTCGGCCGCCGCGTCGCCGACAGCTGCGGGGAGAGAGGAGACGCGTCAGCGCCGCGGGGCCCGCCCTCCCGCCGGCCCTCCCGCCGGCCTCCCGCCGCGCCAGCGCGGGGACAGGGCGACCCGGGGCGGGCGCTGCCTTCCCTTCCCTCGCCCGGCACCTCCGCGCAGGACCGCGCCACCCGGGGAGGGTTCCCGGCGCAGCCGCCCGAGCACCTCCCGGGACGGCGCCGCGACTCCGCCAGCGGAGACCCGGCGGCGGCGGCGCGCCTACCACGGAACCACCCGAGTCCCGTCCTGCGGCCGCGGCCCGCGCCTCCTCCGCCCGTGCGCCGTCAGCGGTCCCGCCGCCGCCCTGGGGCCGCCAGAACTCCGCGAGCGCGCAGAGGGGAGGCAGCCGCTGGACGCGGGGGGGGAAGGGGGCCGTGGGAGGGGCGCTACCTGTGCTCGGGTCCAGTCCCCAAACCAGCAGCAGCAGCACCGGCAGGACGAGCGGAGGCAGCAGGGCGCCGTCAAACATGGTACCGGGGACCGGCAGCCCCCCGGGCCGTGGCGGCGGAGCAGGAGCGCGCAAGGCGGCGGCGCCAGAGTGAAACCCTCCAGCCCTTGGAAAAAGTAATTAGCGCTGCGGACAAACCCAACGTGGTAAACCTCAAGCCCCGCCTTTCCCTCGGAAGGCGGGAGGTGATTGGGCCCTCTCTTTCCTCCGCCCCGCCTCCTCCTTCCCTACTGGTCAGGATGGGTGGAAACCGCAGTGCGTAGTTAGGTTGTAAGCACTTTCTTACACGTGGTTTCTGGGCAGTGGCGGGGACGCAGCACCAGGTGGCGCGCGGGAGCCGACCGGAGCCGTGCGACCCTGGAAGAGCCGGAGGCCGCGGGGCTGGTCTTCAGAGCTTGTACTCATTTTGAAAATCCTTTCTCAGCCTGCTGCCCAGTTTCCCGGGAAGACAGGCCTGAAATCGCCCCGGCCAAGCATTTTGGCCAATCCCAAAATGCATATACTATTTACTTCTAAGGTCAGGTTTTAGTTGTTTGTGGCTGGAAAGACTCCCAGGCCACTCTCCTGCACACCTGAGCTTGCACCTGATGGCTATATCCGCGGCGTTTATCCAAACCCCTCACACCTGCTGTCGTCTTCAATCCCACAGGAGCCAAGGCAGCAGGCATGCTCACGCCCCCTTACAGATTGAAAAACTGAGGAAGAGAGAGCTTAAGGAAAAATCGCTTGAGATACCCAGAGAGTTCCTGTTGCAGCGAAGGCTAAAATTTGTGGTCCTGATTTCTGACTTGGTGCTTCTGACTAACAGCAGGATTCCCCCGCCCCGAGGGAGGCAGGACTCAGTATTACAGGTTAGGAAAGCAGGGCACAAAGTCCCAAAGCCTGGACTTAAATGTGAGTCTCCCAGAAACAGAATGAGTTGATCCTTTCCTGCCAGAACATAACAGATCTGCAGGGAAAGTGACTCCTTTAGCTTGCTGAGTAGCATCTTGTAGAAAACAAAATGAAACAGTTAGCTGAAGTGTAACCATAACTGATCTCAGATTTCCCCTCCCTTCCCTGTCCTGCTCTTTTCCGTTTTCTCAAAGCAGAAATAGTTCCCCACTGGATGCTGATTGAAGCCTCAGAGTTTAAATTAATCACAGGACTACATATCATCTGAAGGAATCTAGAACACTGTCCAGCTTCTCCGAAATATAATGAACCCCAAGGGCAAACGGTGGCCCTCCACAGAGGCTTGCCACTCACTGCTTGGCACCTGCAATTCTGGGGCATCTGCACAGCTCCTGCTCTTGGGCAAGCCTGGGGATTTGTTTCTCCCCCTTGCCCTTGTCCAGGCCAACAGCTTCAGACAACTGACAGCTCAGCAGCATTTTCTGGCAGCACAAAAAATGCTGGCGATTGCGGTGATGGATACCCCATTTACCCTGATGAGATTATTATGCATTGTATGGCCATATCAAAAATGTTCATGTACATAAATTTCCCAAACATATACACCTATACCTACTATCTACTCAAAAAATATTACTTTAATTTTTAAAAAGATATCACAGTAAGCTTCTTAGTAAATCTTTTTGTCAAAAAGAGCTATCTCCAAGGCCTGCCACTAAAAACCATGGAATATGGGCAACACCACTTCACAAGGACAAGTCAGCCTGAAGTAGTCATCACCAATCTATCAGATGATGCTCAAATGCTAAAATTAGTCCATAGGGACATGAAAACTAAAACAGCAAGATACTATTTTATTTCCCAACTAACCAAAATTAAATGGCTTAGAAAAATCAAGAATTAGGACACTCTCCTGCCCCTGAGTGGGAGTATAAATTGGCATGGCCACTTTGAGGAACAACTGGGCAAACGGTAAAAGTAGAGATTTAGTTTTAGTAAAACTGAAAACAAGCACATTCTACAACTCTGTAATTCCACGCTGGTTAATTACTCCAGAGAAACTCTGGCCCATGTACAAGAATGTTTGTTCACCAGGGCAACTTATTAAGAGCAAAATATTGCAAAAACCTGAATGTTCATCATTACATAAATGGCTACTTGAACACCATTAATTAAAAGAAATACAAAAATCTCATAGATGTAACAACAGGCACAGATCTCCAAGATCAGTTACCAAATTTTTTAAAAAATCAGATTGCAGAATGATGCACACAAAAGGATAATATATATATAAACATACACATATGACATAATCTGTATGGATTCAGATAAATGTACATAAAATCAAAGAGAAAAGTCTGGAAAAATACACACCAAATTTTGTTAAGGTTTATTGTTCTTTTTATATGAAATTGCATGTTGAGGAAAGATACTACTAAAGGAAAATAAAAACCTGGGACCCCGGCTGAGCACGGTGTCTCATGCCTGTAATCCCAGGATTTTGGGAGGCTGAAGCAGGTAGATCACAAGGTCAAGAGTTCACGACCAGCCTGGCCAACATGGTGAAACGCTGTCTTTACTAAAAAGACAAAAATTAGCCAGGCGTGGTGGCACACGCCTGTAATCCCATCTACTCAGGAGACTGAGGCAGGAGAATCACTTGAACCCAAAAGGTGAAGGTTGCAATGAGCCGAGATCACACCACTGCACTCCAGCCTGGACAACAAGAGCGAAACTCTGTCCCAAAAAACAAAACAAACGAAAAAAATCCTGGGACCCCAATTCACCCTGCCAAAAGAAAAATTAAACTGAAAGCTGAGTCATGCAGTAAGCTGCCATTCCTTTAGTTCCTAAGCACATAGCTACAGATAAAAAGGTTAAACATCTCCACAGGTAGCTGGGAGAGTGAGAGGGAGAAGGAAGAACTGAGAAGTGATGAAGGCAAGATGGTGTTCGGTGGCTACGTGCTGCTCCTGTGCCTGGATTGGATTCCAGCACCAGGGGCCTGTGCCTACTGCTGCACTATTAAAGACACTGTCATAGTTGTCATGGTTGACTCTGGATCTACCAAAGCAGTGCCCCCTTGTCCAGGGCCCAGTTTTCATTGTCACACCAGCAACTTCCAGCACCTGTTGCATGGAATCCTTACTTCTGCCCCCTGCCATCTGATCTCCTGCCAGGGCCTCTTTTGGCAGAAGCTAGCAGGAAGCCTAAGAAAATGTAAGGCAGTCAGAGAATGAAGGTTGCAGACTTGGAGCTTCAGTAAAAAGCAGAACCTGGAAGTGGGAATGTGGGGCTGGGAGACAGAGCCACTAAAGGTCTTAATCTGGCCACCATGAATCTGAATTCCCTTTGGCCTTCATCCTTGTGTTCACCAGTCATAGTAAAAGTTTAAGTGTCCACGCCTTCAACTTTCTCTTTCATAGCATTTCCTCCACAATACGATGCACTGCCTTCCCCTACCCAAGTCCCGACCCTCCTCCGAGATGTCTATAACCACTTGCAGGGGTCTGTCCTGCAAACCCCGACTCCGCAAGGGATGAATAAAACACACTTACACATAGAGTAAAGTGCACAAGTGGGTTAGGGAGGTCGTCAGCTGCTCTCAGAGGGCGATTGCAGCTAACTGACCCCTCACTAGCTGTTCTTCCTCACACGTATTCAGTATAGAATTAATGACAGGGGTTCTAAGTTAACATGCTTGTGGATAATTAACATAGTTAAAAGAGTGGTTTTATGAATGATAAAAGGTTTTGGTTCCCAAGCCCAGAACAAACACCATTAACAGGTAATCCCCCTTCGACCTCCCCCTGAGAGGACCGCCCAACACAAAGTTTACTTCAGTAAACAAATAGTTAAAGCAGAGACAAAGGAACATGGGGTAAACAGACTTAACTGCGGAAGCTTCTATTTTCCCGGATCATCACCCTATGACCTAATGCTCTAAGATAAGAACAGGCTGCCTTCATCCTGTCCCATTAAAACCTTTCGGCCTTCCAAAAGGTTTGAGACTATAATCTTACGACTCTCCCTAGTATTTCCCTTAATATCTTGCCAACCACACTGAGTGAATCTCAACACTCCTCAGTCTTGAGACCTTCCCATTTGCCCTTAGGAGCTGCTGCCCCATAGCCTAGATCTTCTGCCTCTTCTCTGAGCATTCTGTACTTATGAAAGGAATTGCTTTGAAAATGTAAGGTGGCAACAAAATTCTACATTTCTCAGCCTCTCTTTTCCCCTAACGATGGTCACTTGTCACAGTTCTGGCCACTGCAATAGAAGAAGCTACTAGCTAGAGTTCTAGGAGAGTTCATTTGAGGAGCTTCCTTCTGCTGCTGTACACCTCCTTTTCACTGTGTCTCTTCCTCTTTGCTCCTTCATAGAATTTGCATGTGACTGCTGGAATTCCAGCAGCCATCTGGTAAGCATGAGGAAGAAAGAGTGTCATACCCCTGGGAAGCAAAAAGATCAATGAACTCTGGGTTGCTGCTGACATCTTGGAGTCACCATGCCAGACCTGAGCTGTCTGCTTCTGCACTTTTTTGCTATGTCAGAAGAAATTATACTCTTGTCTCATTTGGGCTGTTGCTATTTGGGCTGTCTGTTACATGCAGCCAAACTTGACCCCTAACACATACACATATAGACAACTCCCATCCCCACCGTGGGGTCTAGGCTCCTCCATTTACTCCCTCGGTGACCTTCTGCGCTGTGCTGCCCCAACTGTCCACTCTCAAAGTCACACCCTAGACCTTGTCATCACCCCTAGCTGTTCCACCTTCCAAAACTTGAACATCGACCTCTGAGCACGGCTTCCTGTCCTCCCAGCACGCTTGTCCAAATGCTCCTACCTGAGAAGACCTCTCAGACTGCATCTCCCAACCCACCAGCCTCTCTTCACTGCGCGCCCCCCCATCCAGCTTACGTTCCAGCCTCCATCACTCTGAAAACACTCTTGCCTCTATGCTCAGCTCCCCTATGGCTTTTCACTGCAGTTGTCAGGCAGAACTACGGGCCTAGGCAAACTCAACTCTCTACTCTCACGGAGCATGTGTTTGCGTTCCAAACACCGCTGGACCCAAGCATGCAACAGGAAAATATCTGCAATCACCTTCTTCACCTGAGCCGTTGCCATGCCCACCATTGCCACTACGCTCCTCTGCTCAACTCCCCTTTCTCTCAATGCAGTGGTGATCTCAAAC